CTTCTTTATCTAGTAATCCACAATCATTATTAATATTTGATTCTTTTAGAGGTCATTTAACGGATTCTATTAAAAATCGACTTCATGAAAAAAACACTAATATGGCAGTTATACCGGGTGGACTTACTTCTAAACTACAACCATTAGATGTATCGATCAATAAATCATTTAAATCAAAGGTAAAAAAATTTTTTAAAATTTATAATATTAATAAAATACTAAACCTTTTACAATAACAATAGTTACGCCATTATTATAATAATTGGATGGCTGAAGAGATTAAAACCTATACTCCAACTGGTCGTATTCGAAAGCCTGCTTATAATTTGATTGCTCAATGGATCAAAGATGCATGGGATGCTATTGATTCTTCTTTAATTCAACGTTCTTTTCAATGTTGTGGAATTTCTAATGCACGAGATGGTAGTGAAGAACATCTTATATTCGATTATAATTATGTTACAAAAAATAACACCAACAGTAATAATAATCATGTTTATTTGAGTAACGAAGGTTTAGATGTAAAAGTTGAAAGTATAGAAACGTACTTAGAAGAAAAAAATATTAGTGTTAGAGAATGCGAAGATGATTACTATGATAATCATGAGTTGAATTATGTAAATAATTGGAATTAGATAGAAGGTTCAAAATTCATTAATAAATAATAAAGTGATTAAGTTTTAGATTCTTTCTTTTATTAAAAATTTCAATATTCTTAACATTTTCCGTTCTTTTTAACATAGCTTAGGTCTAAACTGTCTTTATAACAAAATTCCAATAAACTATAAGTGATTCCCGATTCAAAATTTTGAAGGATCACATCTACAATATATTATTTATTTGAGTGCCCCGATGCCATCTTATGAGATTATCCTTTATACTTTATTGTTTTAAAATTTAAAGTCTAGAGAAACCATTCCACTATTACAGATAAATGCGTGTAGGCATGTGATGCAACAGCATATTAAGTCAACTTGTTGTTGTGAATGGCGAAAAATTATGGTGAAAAAATCTAGGTGGGATAAAAAGTTTTAGAGTTGAGTTGAATATACTGTAAATATGTAAATAATAGGCACACGTATAAATATATGCGCCATTCAGTAGCATTTAGAAGTAAATAATAAAGTTAAGTTTGAAATAAATTCTTACCTTGTGTTCAGTACGCCATAGATGACTTGTAATTTGACTACGCGACTAAGAGAGAGAACCAAAATTTTGTCTAGGGAAAGACATGACGATCAAAATGACGCATCTGATGAAGATCCCACCTACAAAAGTATCAGTGAATACATCCAAGAAAGAACGATTGGTCATTATCACCTCAATTACGCCACATCGAAAAGCAATCAGACAGAAAAGATAGAAACATATACTGTACTTACCCACCGAAAAAAATGGGAATCCAGGCAATCACGACAACTCAGTATCTACCACATCACACCACAATCTACTCAAATGGATGAACCTATAGAAAGAACGGAGGGAAGTGAGAACAAAATTTTGTATTTGACCTAAATGAATATGAAAAACCATACCTTACCAATGCCTTACTTTAAACCCGATCAAGATTACCAGCGCAACGTGTTGTAAGATCATACACAAGTGGAGGGATAAGATAACGGATGATCCAACCACTCACTACCAATCAGCACTTTCTAATAAGGCACCAAGATTGACCCATCTAATTGAAATCTTATGCGTGGTATGCATAAGATAAGCGTGGGAAACTGTAACAGAGTAAGTTGGGACGCGACACATATTACGTGATCGATCGTTGCGACGGGTACTACTCCAAACCTGTTTAGATCGGTGGTGCACGATTATCTAATTATAGGGAAAGAAGGGAGGGATTTTGAAAAAGAATTATGTAAGTTAGACTTAGCTTCGTCAAGACTTAACTGTATAGCGGCTTTAGCTTCTGTAATAAGGAAATGTATAAAGAAGAAGATATAAGTAAATGAAGAGAACAATTCAAATAAAGTTAAAAATAAATACTCGACCAAATCAACATGCCTCATAAACTATAATTATACCTACCCGATCCACGGTTATATGAAATTCTGCCCTCTTTGGCAACTGACTCGCCATTGCACTCTTACAACGCTATTATATTAATCTACTATTATATCCTTCTAAAATATATGATTCCTAATCTAAAATCTTAAAGGGTCACAATCGCACCATTCTATTGTAACTATCCAATGTCAGTTAGATATCACCTAGTGAGATTACCATATTATTAATTTCACGGTTCCTAATTTAAAGAAGTTTTGAGTGACTATACTTACCTTGTATTGTCTTAAATTCTCGACATTAGTTAGGTGCCATCAGGTAAGATTGTAATGCTATTAAAATCTCAAGGGACCATAATCACATTATACTGAGTACCCAATACCAGTTAAAAAGCATAGATATTAAAGCAGTGTTTAAATAATAAGGTATGTACTGACGTAAATAAAAAAATACCTATTATTCATAACATGATTAACCAATCAAATGCATAATTTGAAAAGTATATAATACCCGGGTATAAATTAGTTTTCAATTTCTTATAACTAATATAGTACCCGGATATAATTATACGGGGTACTATTCAAAGGGGGTATTTTATAGAGCGCTGTACGGTAATATTTTTTATATTATATTTTAATTTTTTTTTATATAGATAAGCATTTTTTTATTTTTTAAATATTTATTTTATTATATTTTATTAATTATTAATTTGTTTTTTTTTTGTCTTTCTAATAATTGGATATCGATAAATTTTAAATAAAACATTTATTCTTTAATTTATATTAAGTTTTAAGTTTATAAAATATTTGTAAATGTATATAATGATAAATAAATTAATAAAAATAATAAAACAGTTAAGTATTTTGGTTATATATATTGATCTGTAATGTTTTAAAATAATAAAAAAAAGTTCTTATCCAAGAAAACAAATATATATTCTTATATTAATGTCATTTTTTGAAATAGGTTGTCTTGAAAAATATGTGATTTTTTATTTTTGAATATTAATATGCTAATATCAAATTAAACAAGAAATAAATAATACTAATTTATTAAAACAATGCATTAGTGAGCTTGAGGTTGAAAACAATAAAATTAAATTAAAAATATTGAACTTAAGGCTAGAATTATAAAATTGAAAAATAAGCAATTACAAAATGAAATAATTAAAAACTTATTATCTATATTGTGAAAACCATAATTATATATTATTTAAAATAAATTACTCAAATAAAAAATCATATATTATTTAAAATAAATTACTCAAATAAAAAATTATATATTATTATTTTTCACTCAAAAAAAAATTTTTTTTTTAATTTGAATTATTATTATTAATTAAATTTATTTTAATAAAATATTTAAATTATAATATTAATTAATTTTATAAAAACTTTTACTTAATATGCATATTAATTTTAATAATATAAATTTATTTTATAAATTAAATATCAATTTCTAAAATTTAAAATATATTTTAAAAAAAATATTCAAATTTTTGAAAAATATAAATAGAATTTATTAAAACCTTTATTTTATATTTATATAGTTTAAAATATATTTATATTATATATTTTTTTAATTATTTATATTTTTTAATTTAAATTTTTTTTCAAAAATTTTAACACATCTGTTATAACAATAAATTAATAATATAAAGATATTTTTAAAAATTAAATATATCAATATATATTAAAAAAATTTGTTTTTATTTAATAAATAAATAATATATTATTATCATTTCTCAAATTGTAAGTATTTTTAAACAAATTTATCTAAAAAATTTTAAAATATTCAAATAAAAATTTTTTTAATAATATTTGAAAATAATGATTATATTTTAGTAATATTTAATTTTATATTATAAAAATAAAATTATAAGTACTTATAAGATAAAAATATGTTGATTTTTTAAAAAAATTTAAACTAAAAAAAATTATTTATTTATCTTTGACAAACTTTTTAAATATTTAATATAATATTGTAATTTATATAAAGAAGAAGAATAATAATAATTATTATTATTAGAATTTGAATTATAAATAAAAAAATTTTTTATTTTCAAAAATATATCAAATTATAAAAAACACTTTAAAAAAATTTTATAATAAAGTTTATAAAATAGATTCTTAGAAAAATATTAACAATACATAATTTTGCAAACAAATTTGCCTGCAATAGAATACAATTTAAGAGATAAATCATATATTATCATTATATATTATATTTAAATATTTTGTATGGTTAATAAATAAATCAATTCAAACAAGTTTTACAGATATAATTAATTATAGTTCAAAATACCAAATTTAATTTAAACTTGTTCAAAAAAAACAAAATTTCAATTATAATTCAAAATTCAATAAAAAAAATTTTTTTTACAATGTTATTAATTACTTAATCACTTGATTTGATATTGTTTTTTGATTAGAATATTATTTAAATTTGAAAAAGCATCCAAATTCTTAATGGCAATACACAGTATATATACAGTATATTAAAATAAATTGTAATACTTTTTAAATAAAATTTTTTTAAATTAATAAATGCGATCGCTTTTAATAGCAGATCTTGTTAGATAAATTAAAAATATAAAAATATAAAGACATAAGATATGAATAATATGCTTGCAAAAAAAAAAAAATGCAGGGGCACTCTTCGCCGGTGGATTGCTACCCTTTGGGCCACACAACTAATATAGTTTAAATATACTGAAATTTAATTGAAACTATCACTCTTGATCTTATTTTAAATATTTTCGAAATTCACTCATCATTTTTTTACTTCTTACTCGATATTGTTCTTAAGAGTTTGTAATGATTTGGGTGGATATGACGATTATAGAAAAAAAATGAGATCATAATGAATTGATTCGCGTCTGGTACTGTATCCGAAAATTGCATAAGTATTATCACCTCACGGTTGAAGTTGCCCGGTATCTCATAGAATGCGCATTCAACTCCATTTTTATTAAATTTGCTTTAATATTATGGAGCTTATGCTACCAATGGTAGAGAGAGTAAGTTGCGTAGAAGAAATTCTGTGATTAGATTTTAGTAAGCCAATAAATAAGCTTACGAATCTACTTTCCCGTAATCCGAAAATTACACCGCAATATTAACAAAAATGTGTATTGATAATAGATAAATTTACATAAAAGGGGATGGTCAATGAATTTAAAGACATATACAAAAAAGAACATCCAAATCGGATATCGCTATCCGTGATACGTTTTTCCGAATGTCTTATTTGATATACAGTACAATAACCGTATAGCGAGCGAGGGTATATAATGGTAACGTACGCTGGTAAGAAAAAAGTATTCGCTGGATCCAAATTTCCAAGGCGCGATGGTTTTTAAATCCAAATCTCCTGATATTGAGATTCCATCTATTGGAATTTATCAATATGTGACGAGAAATCAGAACAATATACCCGACAGTAGAGTTATATTCATCGACGGGACAACGGACAAAAAGATAACTTTTGGCGAATTTAAAAGGGATACAAAAAAGTTCGC